TGCGTTTTTTACATAATTTGCCGTTAGAAATGTATAACTTTATTATCTTTTTAGATAAACTTTAAATTTTAAAACAGACTGCAATGTAATTGGTTAAAAAAATTTGGCTACTTAAAACCAAGGTTTTTTCGGGCTTTGCTCACGTTACTGGCATACAATTCTGCTTTAGACTATAACAAAACTATACTTAATGACATTCTAACAAATTTTGTTTTAAAATATGTGGTATTTTTCATACTAATGAGATGCGTAACAAAATCACAATTTTAGCTTTATTTTAACAGGAGAGCATCCAATCCTATCACAGATTAAAAGAAATTTAGAAGTTTATATCCGTGTCATTATTTTCCCACCATTTTTAGCACCTACAATGATTAATTTATTTGATAACTAGAGTTTTAATGACGTCATATAAAAGTGTACAGAGCGTACACACTATTCGGATAAATTCCTAATGCCCTATCTTCTACTATTCTACCGTCTTTGAGCGGGGTGGTTTGGTGTTTTAATGGATTTCATAATAGAGTGTAAAATAACTCCGGGAATGGAACTATTTGAACAACAATATTTCAATGAGCAATATATCATATTGACGAGAACTGAAGAAGGACATGAGAAGGACTAAACTAACTTAAATTTCTCTCTACAGAACTCATGTACACCACAAGTACTCAATGACATAAGAACAGCTAATGTTCACAACAGACCTAGTTAATCTATATAATAGGAATATCTTTTAAACATCTATACATTTATATCTTTCAAGTTGAAAAATGTCGTCTTATACGCAATCTATCTTTATCTATGAATAGAACACGGAGTTTCTGATATTCCAGACAACTATGAAAGTTATGCATCAAATTGTTAGACACGTGGAAAGCCTTTGAGTAAAGTTTGACCTGCACACCAAATCAATTATAACTGAAGTAAAGTCGTGGACTTGAATTTTGAGCTGCAGCGCAAATGGTTTTAGTTCAATTTAAAAGGATTAATTGGCGAAATCTTTATTTAGATATTACATACGTACATACATCGCAGGTTCAGGCATAGAATATAATATAGGGAGCCAGTCATTGATTATTGACAATTGTATTTCCTGATGAAAAATATATCTTTGATATTCACAATACATATATTATTAATATATATATATATATATATATTATGCGTATCAATTCTATCTTAATGTCAATAGCATATTGTAATGTATATTGTGTACCTAGTCCATCTAATATTTATTTATACAATACACACATATTACTTATATATATTAAAAACATGTTGTTGATCCCAGCACTTCATCTTTTAAAACAATTTTCTTATTTTGAACTTTAAAAATGTCTTTAAAAAATTACTGTTCTGATGAGGCAATTAAATAGAAACCTTTTATGATGATAATTTATAGTTTTTAAACATCTAGCTGTAATGCATTGCAATTTTTTAATAGTATTTTCCATCAAATTTTTTTTTAAACTTTACAACTTTAAGCATAATTGATACAAACAAAATATCTGGAATAGAAAGCAATGAATTAATTGTATTAAAAAAAAATTCTATCATAAGAAATTAAAGATAGATTTATTTTTTTTATAATTTATTAATAATTTTTTTTAGGTTACATATATCATAATCAATAATAAACATGCACTTTTAATTAATTGGCGTCTTGGTTCTCTCTTTTAATTTGTTCCAACTATTTTACTTGTAAAATTGCTCTAACTATTTTCAGAGCTTACTTTTTTAAGTTCATGAGCAAAGACAACAAGAACAATGATAACAAAAATTCCAATTTACACTTTTTTATATTTTTAATCTTATACTTAGATAGTTTATTTATGTATATGATAAAGCTCTCATAAATATATATGGATTTGTTTGTATGTTTGCCATAGCCGGCCAAACGGCTGGACCGAATGGGCTGAATTTTTTTGAGGGAACCCTTGAGTACCCGGGGGTAACACAGACTTTAAAAAATCGACATAGTTTTCTTCAAAACTCGACATTTTTCCCCAAAAATCGATTTTTTATTAAATTCGTTTTTTTTAAACTTCACGGGCAACGCCGGGCACTCCAGCTATTTTTTCATAAAACGTTTTATGACGTTTAATGATGCAATGACTAATGGTACAGTGTTCTCAAAAATAAAATGGATTAGAACACGATGACCTTTTATCAAAATATTTTCATTCATTTATTTTGTACATTGTACATTGAACATGGTCTGTTTGTTTTGATTTATGACCCCTTGCAACTTGCAATCGTGTTAATTCCTTTGCAAATTCATTATAAAACCATTTAAAGATATGATTTAAAACGTATTTTGTTTATGTTTTTTACACTTAAATCTGTCCGTAAGAAGAATGTGAATTTAATTTAAGCTTTGAGCAATTTGGAATGTTAGCTTAATAGATTTTCTTGCAAAGCTTGATGAGAAAGTATAGGGAAGAAAATCTCCAAAAAAAGGATTTCTGAAATCTGTTTTTTTTTAAATTGATCTTATCGTAATTTGTATTACCACGGATGAAAATCTTTCATCCCCTTTACATTCATATGAGCTTATATGATTTTAAAAATTTACACTATTACTACTCATGTTTGAGAAATTTGACAATATGTGCGACATAAAAGTTTTTTCTCCAAACAAAGAATCTTACAATCAACCCTTTTGAAAATGCATTTTTTCATTTGACAATTTCTTAAAAAGAACGTTTCTGTAGTACAACATATATATAGCTTACAATGCATTGTTTTTCTTAGTTTAATTGTGTTCAATGATTAAAAAAAATTATAACTAATTTTTGAGACATTTGGGAATATGTGAGAGAAAAAGGTTTTAATCCAGGTATATTACAATCAACACTTTGGGAATACATTTTTAAATGTGACAATTTCTCAAGGGGCATCTTTTAAAATGAAGGATTCTATGGTTAATGAATAGTTGGGTTAGGTTAGCTGCGGCTAGACAACATTTGAAGAGGCTGCAGTTCCTAGCACTATCTGGTAAAGGTCATTTGAAAAATTGGGAGAATAACAAGTAGAATTGAAGTACAACATATATGTATATATATAGTTTTCTTGTTTTCTGATTTCTTGTGTTTAATGATTTTTTCTTTTACTTCTTAGATTGAGAACTCCGGACTCCGAGCTTGAACGAGATCTAATAATAAATATGTATAGCTAAAAACCTGCCTGCAGTGTACAGTGTGTTCCAAAAAACATGGGAAATTTGAGGTCGTCTTTGATTCAAGCCGAAGCAAATATTATGAATATCTCAGTCATTATTGGGATTTCTAAATTAAAGTTTCGTTCCTTCAAAATTGACAAAAATGTTGATAAATGAATCGAGTTTTTGCCACAAACTCAAATGGTCTAATCCCTTTATCTTTGCAACCTAATTCATATTCATATTTTGAATTATTGTCTGCGACATAGGGTTGAACAGATTATAGGGATTAGAAAATCAGAACTTGAGCCAAAAACTCAAATCTTTTGTCCATATTTTATTTAGAATTAAAAAATCTAAAGATTAAAAGATGCACAACATCTTTATTTTTAAATCAGAGACGATTTAAATGTCGTCTCTTAATCCCCATGCGTATTAGGACACCCTGTGGAACACGATTTAGTAAAAAAATTAAATTTTAAAAAATTATAGATACTCTNGACTCTGAAACCAACCCACACCCGGGGCTATGCCTCTCTATTGCCTTATCTTACATAGGTTACCCAACAACCAAAATAAGATTAAATTGAACAAAATATTTAGTCACTTGAATATTTTTAAAGAAAGAATTAAGATTTTCAAAACTTATAATATCTGCATATTTGTTTAAATCAATGTTTATAATAAGCAATATCAGTACTGTGATAATCAGAAAACTGTGGAATGATTGACGTCTTCGTCGTCTTCACTTTTGATTTTGAAAATATCTATAAAAAATCTTACAATTTTATATTGAAAGAAGACGACAATCATTCCACTGTTTTCTGGTTACCACTGTATGATTTACCTGAAAGAAGAAAGACTGGTGGTTTCAGCCATTGATTGTCTTCGATTCATGAGAGCACAGAACTCACGATAGTTCAGCTTATTATCCTACTCAACAGTGAGAAAACATGGTGGCAATTATTATCCTACTCAACAGTGAGAAACCATGGTGGCAATTATTATCCTACTCAACAGTGAGAAAACATGGTGGCAATTATTATCCTACTCAACAGTGAGAAAACATGGTGGCAATTATTATCATATATTTAAAAAAAGATATGATCCACGTTTATATTTAAAAAAAGATATGATCCACGTTATATTTAAAAAAAGATATGATGCACGTTTATATTTAAAAAAAGATGTGATCCACATTTATATTAAAAAAAATATGATCAACGTTTAAATTTAAAAAACGATATGATCAACGTTTATATTTAAAAAGAGATATGATCCACGTTAATATTTTAAAAAAAGATGTTATCCACGTTTGCATTTAAAAAAAATAAGATCAACGTTTATATTTTAAAAACGATATGATCCACGTTTATATTTTTAAAAAGATATGATCCACGTTTATATTTAAAAAAAGATATGATCCACGTTTATATTTAAAAAAAGATATGATCCACGTTTATATGTAAAAAAAGATATGATCCACGTTTATATTTAAAAAAAGATATGTTCCACGTTTATATTTAAAGAAAAAAGATATGATCCACGTTTATATTTAAACGAAAATTCAATTGAGGGATCTCTTCAAAGGTGACTTGCATAATGAAGGGATTGTCAGAATTAAATTCTAGAAAAACGACGTTATCTTCCTCATTATTAATCTAATAAAGGTTCCAAGATTTACCGCATATTAAAAATGTTTCTGACATGACACTCTACATATGGAGAGTACTTGTAATTACACATGACAATTCCTTTAAGTAAATTTATTTTAAAAGGATACGAATGATGAATAAAGTAAATCCTGGAGTTACCTCAAAGGCTTTCTCCGTTTTTGTCTTTTTGTCGCAGAATTCAGTAAAACTTATCCTCCCATCTCTATCTCTGTCCTAAACAAATAAAATTCAAATAAGATTTAAAAGCAACTTTTTGAACAGTGATTCTAGCTCTTAAATTTTCTTTCAGTTGCAACCATTTTTCGTTTACATTGTAAAAATGACAGTGCAAATTTTCACGGATTTATTCATTTTAAGTGAGGAATTTCACAAAATGAATGCAGTTAATAACAATTTTTTATGAAATATTCTTAAAATATTGATTGGCCATAACACATCCCTGGGTTTCTAAGAGACAAAAACCGAGCATTACTCCCTAATGCTTGGTTTCTATAAGGCAGAAACCGAGCATTACCCCCTAATGATTGGTTTCTATAAGGCAGAAACCGAGCATTAACCCCTAATGATTGGTTTTAGTAAGGCAGAAACCGAGCATTACTCCCTAATGATTGGTTTCTATAAGGCAGAAACCGAGCATTACCCCCTAATGATTGGTTTCTATAAGGCAGAAATCTAGCATTATTCCCTATAATACTCGGTTTCTATAAGACAAAAACCGAGCATTACTCCCTAATGCTTGGTTTCTATAAGGCAGAAACCGAGCATTACCCCCTAATGATTGGTTTCTATAAGGCAGAAACCTAATGCTCGGTTTCAAGTTGCGTATACTCTGCGTACTTATTGAAACCAGGTCTCTCTGGGCGGAATTTGTAAACAAGAATAGATACATCAGTGTTCGTTTAGTATCCGAGGAGGTTAAAAGCATTAAATTTTGATAATTTTGATAATTCATATAATACTTACTATGATCAAAATAGTTCATTGATTTTTTATGTAAGAGTTGGATCCCATGTCAGGCTTTGACATCCGTCTTGTGTTTACATTACCGCCCAGTGACAGTACACTGCAGTATAAAAGATGCGTTCACCTCTGAAGTAACTTTCCTTGCATTATAACCTTAACTAGACGTAACATGTTAAGAGATCAATTTTAATATAATGAAATTTTAATGTTAAGTATTTTAACGTAACATCATATCTGTTTTTTTTTCCAGTAAATACCATGAGTGTGGATACGAAAATAGCTATGTAGCCCTATTAACAGTTTGCAAGCCGAGAAACAGGTCATATAAAGATTTAAACCTCAGAAAAAAATTTGAAAAATGTAAATCAACATGGAGCTAACAAAAAAAGTTATATGATTTGTTTTAATTATTTGCGCTACATTAATACAGAAGTTTTTGTCTTACAAAAGTCGATATATTTAATATACTATTTTTAAAAATTGTGTTCTCAGGGTGGTTTTACTTTATTTGCATGCACACAGATATTGGAAATATATTTGTCTTGTTTCGAGGATTGGTTTGCTAGGATTATTTGGAGTTTGAAAAAAAATATATTTTAATTTCTTTTAGATTTAATATGTTTTCTTTAGAAACTCATCAGAAGTTAAGAAAACTAGGTAGTTAATAAAATGCAAAAATTACGAAGAAGTCCTAAAAATGCTTTTCAGAAAATCTGTGGCAGTTTAATGTTGGAGGAATCTTTTAGTTTTATCACGTTGCTTTTTAGATTTTAAAAACTGAACATTCAGTTTTACATATCTAAAAGCCATAATTCATTATGTCGATATTGGGACATTTCATAGAAAGGAAATTTCATAGCCAGGACATTTCATGTATAGGATTTTCATAGATAGGACATTTCATGGATAGGACATAGGCCCTTCAAAGGAAATTTAATAGACAGGACATTACATAGACAGTACAATTTATAAATAGGACATTTCATAGACAGGACATTTCATTGATTAAACATTACATGGACAAAAAATTTTATAGACAGGACTTTTCACAGAAAGGACACAAAAATGCTGTATATCAATTTCTATGTTTGAATAATGTAGTTTAATCATTTGATTGTTTAAAGAATGGTGTATATTCATTCTTATGTTTGAATAATGCTGTATATTATATATTCATTCTTATGTTTTAATAATGCTGTAAATTCATTTTTATGTTTGTATAATGCTGTAAATTCATTTTTATGTTTGAATAATGCTGTAAATTCATTTTTATGTTTGAATAATGCTGTATATTTATTCTTATGTTTGAATAATGCTGTATATTTATTCTTATATTTGAGGAATGGTGTATATTCATTCTTATGTTTGAATAATGCTGTATATTGAATTTATGTTTGAATAATGCTGTAAATTCATTTTTATGTTCGAATAATGCTGTATATTCATTTTTATGTTTGAATAATGCTGTATATTTATTCTCATGTTTGAATAATGCTGTATATTTATTCTTATGTTTGAATAATGCTGTATATTGAATCTTATGTTTGAATAAGGCTGTATATTCATTCTTATGTTTGAATAATGCTGTATATTCATTCTTATGTTTGAATAATGCTGTTTATTCATTTTTATGTTCGAATAATGCTGTATATTTATTCTTATGTTTGAATAATGCTGTATATTTATTCTTATGTTTGAATAATGCTGTATATTCATTGTTATGTTTGAATAATACTGTATATTCATTCTTATGTTTGAATAATACTGTATATTGAATCTTATGTTTGAATAATGCTGTAAATTCGTTTTTATGTTTGAATAATGCTGTATATTTATTCTTATGTTTGAATAATGCTGTATATTTATTCTTATGTTTGAATAATGCTGCGTATTCATTCTTATGTTTGAATAATGCTGTATACTCATTCTTATGTTTGAATAATGCTGTATATTTATTCTTATGTTTGAATAATGCTTTTATATTCATTCTTATGTTTGAATATTGCTGTATATTGAATCTTATGTTTGAATAATGCTTTAAATTCATTTTTATGTTTGAAAAATGCTGTATATTTATTCTTATGTTTGAATAATGCTGTATATTTATTCTTAATGCTGTATATTCATTCTTATGTTTGAATAATGCTGTATATTCATTTTTTATGTTTGAATAATGCTGTAAATTCATTTTTATGTTTGAATAATGCTGTAAATTCATTTTTATGTTTGAATAATGCTGTATATTCATTCTTATGTTTGAATAATGCTGAATATTCATTCTTATGTTTGAATAATGCTGTATATTTATTTTTATGTTTGAATAATGCTGTATATTAAATCTTATGTTTGAATAATGCTGTATATTCATTCATATGTTTGAATAATGCTGTTTATTTAATCTTATGTTTGAATAATGCTGTAAATTCATTTTAATGTTTAAATAATGCTATATATTTATTCTTATGTTTGAATAATGCTGTATATTTATTCTTATGTTTGAATAATGCTGTATATTTATTCTTATGTTTGAATAATGCTGTATATTCATTCTTATGTTTGAATAATGCTGTTTATTTAATCTTATGTTTGAATAATGCTGTAAATTCATTTTAATGTTTAAATAATGCTATATATTCATTCTTATGTTTGAATAATGCTGTATATTTATTCTTATGTTTGATTAATGCTGTATATTCATTCTTATGGTTGAATAATGCTGTATATTCATTTTTATGTTTGAATAATGCTGTAAATTCATTTTTATGTTTGAATAATGCTGTATATTTATTCTTATGTTGATTAATGCTGTATATTTATTCTTATGTTTGATTAATGCTGTATATTCATTCTTATGTTTGAATAATGCTGTATATTCATTTTTATGTTTGAATAATGCTGTATATTTATTCTTATGTTTGAATAATGCTGTATATTTATTCTTATGTTTGATTAATGCTGTATATTCATTCTTATGGTTGAATAATGCTGTATATTCATTTTCATGTTTGAATAATGCTGTATATTCATTCCTTTGTTTGAATAATACTGTATATTGAATCTTATGTTTGAATATTGCTGTATATATTCATTCTTATGTTTGAATAATGCTGTATATTTATTCTTATGTTTGAATAATGCTGTATATTCATTCTTATGTTTGAATAATGCTGTATATTCATTCATTTGTTTGAATAATACTGTACATTGAATCTTATGTTTGAATATTGCTGTATATATTCATTCTTATATTTGAATAATGCTGTATATTCATTTCTGTGTTTGAATAATGATGGAGAGATTTATCAAAATGACAATTTATTTCTTTTCTCAATCTCTAAATTCACTAGAAAACGTTTGAATCCTAACAGATAGACTATAGAGCAAGTATCTATTTATAAATCATGTATTACTCTCTATTTGTCTATTTGTTTGCTTGAATTTCCGATCATAACTCTTGAACCCCATAACACATTTACCTTCAATTTTGGTACAGAACTCGGTAGAACTTTAAAGTTTAAAGTTATAACAAGCTTATGTACCTACACGCACCCCTGACCCTTTAGGAAAAGTAAATTTAACCTAAAGTCTGACCGCGTCAACTTTGTTGCACCGGCTAGTCCTATTGAGTGTCTGCTTTATTTACCCAATGTCCGGGCGATACAGAATCGATTTTTTAGCAGACAATAATTATTGCATTTATAAATCTGATCAGAAAATTAACCGAATGACCAGAATGACCATGCGTCTGCAAAGCATGAATAATCATATGATAGGGCCAGCCGAGTCGTTTCCTTCTCCCTTCTATTCTATACTCCTTGGTTCCGACAAATCGGAGTTCTCACATCGATATACACAATTCAGAGTGTAAGCATCTTTTGTACTGCAGTGTACTGTCTCTGGGCGGTAATGTAAACACAGACGGATGTCACCGCTTGACATGGGATCCATCTTTTACTTTAAAAATCAATGAAATATTATGGTCTTAGGAAACTATTACGTGAATTATCAAAATTATCAAAATTAAATGCTTTTATCCTCCACGGATACTAAACAAACACTGATGCATCTATTCTTGTTTACAAATTCCGCCCGGAGAGAACTGGTTTCAATATGTACGCAGAGTATACGCAACTGCAATTATCTTTCCTTACATTATAACCTTGCACCTTGCAAGGTTAAAGAAACACTAACAGAGGGTCTCCTCTAGCAGCTTGTATAACGTATACAATGTATAAAGAATGGATTGCAACCCCGACAAACTAAAAGGAAGGAGAAGATAAAACTTGTGTGACTCTGTGACCTCGTAGCTCCTCTAGTTTTGATTTTATTCGTAATTAATAGAAAATCATACTTCTTCTGTTACATATTAGAAATTCAAAACAACTTTTCAATTTATGGAGCTTTAAATGGAAAACATGTATATAAGATTCCAAGCGTTCAACTTACTTTAGTTTGACGTTAAACAACTTATAATGCTAATCAGGCAGTAAAACAATATTTGCTGAAGGGAGAAACTTCTAATGTTTTGTTTGAACAATATACATATTATATAATGTATACTCTTTTTAGTTAACTATGTTTGTCTAAAATATGGTTTCAAATAAACATCAAGGAACGTCAATTATACTAACTGTCTATGATGAAAAATAAATTGGTAAAAAATACCTATCTTTATTTTTAACTAACTACCGTCCTGATTACCTAACTATACATTTTGATTACCTACCTATCTTTATTTTTAACTAACTATACCTTCTTGATTACCTTACGGATTATAATTTTGTAACATATACAAAATTCGACCATTAGGTGATTTATTATAGGCCTTTAACCTACCTACCTACCTACCTACCTACCTACCAACCTACTAAATACCTACCTACCTACCTACCTACCTTATTAGCGAAGTAAATGTTGACCTCCTCTTTGCTAATGTTGACCCCGTGCTCCTGAGATAAAAAATCTTGTTTACAATTTTAAATCACTGAATGCGTGTTTTTCATGCCAATTCATTCCTAAAAAGTAAAGTTTTAAACAAATGGTATAAATCTAGTTCTAGAATTCACATGTGAGTTAGTGAGCTTGAATCTAAGGTCAATCTTGGACCCAATATTGAAATTTGATCCGACTTTTCATATTTTGCTAAATATATCTATGCTCACTGTAATATTTGAAGATTTTCAGAACTTGCTAAATATATCTATGTGTGTAGACTGTAGCTCACTGCAATATTCGAATATTTTCAGAACTTGCTAAATATATCTATGTATGTAGCTCACTGTAAAATTTGAATATTTCCAGAACTTGCTAAATATATTTATGTATGTAGCTCACTATAATATTTGAATATTTTCAGAACTTGCTAAATATATCTATGTATGTAGCTCACTGTAATATTTGAATATTTTCAGAACTTGCTAAATATATCTATGTAGGTAGCTCACTGTAATATTTGAATATTTTCAAAACTTGCTAAATATATCTATGTATACTCTAAAGGAATTGTTCAAGCTTATAACTTCCCCGAGAAGAATGGAATACTGAGAAGGAGTTGACCTGCATGTTTTACTTACAGGTACACCATTTGGAAAAGCATATGCTTTTGAATATCGTCTTTTTGTTTAAATATATTTTTTATTTTATCTGTATAGCAGTTTTGTCAGCTCTTAAGTTGCTCCATAAAAAATAAGACAAAAACACAGATATGTTAAGCAAAAGTCCTCTTTCTTCGGCTGGTATTAAGTGCACAACTTGAATTTCTCCTATTGGCGATTCTCATACACATTTGATTTTTTCCATTTTTTTACATTTTTAATTTTGAATCTTTCTATTGAGAGCATTTAAGCTGGGTAGATATATTTATAAATGTTAGATATATTGGAGCCAGGGGAGGAGAGACGAGCCAACTAATTTATCAAATTATACTCAATATACACGGTGCCCCAATAAACATGGGAATTAAGAGACGAATATGAAATCGTCGTTGTACATTCTTTACTTGAAATATTTGCGGATTACAGCTTTCTTAATAAGTTACAAATATCAACATCGTCATTGAATTCCCATGTTCATTGGACACCCTGTGTATATAGGGACTTATATACATAGTACATTGTATATTGTGTATAGATTAATATATCTAAAATCTATAACAAGTAGTACTTTGATTGAAAATAACATAAACAATATAATATTAATTAAATAGTTTTCTTAATATGATTTTATTTTCTATATTTTCTTTAATTTTTCTGATAAATTCATTCCTCTATTTTTTTCCTTTGTACATTTTTTTTTTACTTTTTTCTTTCTATTTTCATTTTTCTCTTTCTTTCTTTCTTTCTTTCTTTCTTTTCTCTTTTCTTTCTTTCTTTTTTCCTTTTTTTCAAATTTTTAAAACTTTCTTCCTTTTTTCTTTCGTTCTTTTTTTCTTTTTTTCTTTCTTTCATTTCCCTTTTTTCTTTCTTTCTGTGTTTTTTTTCTTTCTTTCTTTCTTTCTTTTTTTCTTTCTTTCTTTCTTTCTTTCTTTCTTTCTTTCTTTCTTTCTTTCTTTCTGTCTTTCTTTCTTTCTTTCTTTCTTTCTTTCTTTTTTTCTTTTTTTCTTTTTTTCTTTCTTTCTTTCTTTCTTTCTTTCTTTCTTTCTTTCTTTCTTTGAAAGTACAAAACAACTTACTCTTGTACACTAAACGTACGTTAGTACATAAAAACTTTCTCCTGTTCACTAAACGTACGTTAGTACATAAAAACCTTCTCTTGTTCACTAAACGTACGTTAGTACATAAAAACTTTCTCTTGTACACTAAACGTACGTTAGTATCTAAAAATTTTCTCTTGTACACTAAACGTACGTTAGTACATAACAACTTTCTCTTGTACACTATACATACGTTAGTACATAAAAACTTTCTCTAGTACACTAAACTTACTTTAGTGCACAACAACAACTCAAGTATATCGAGTTTTCCAATAAACATGGGAATTAAGAGACGACTCTAAAATCGTGTTCGATCCTTGTGGCATTTTTTCATTAACACAATAATTGTAGTGTTCCAGTTTAAACATATAATATCCAAAATGCCTAGTCTTGAGATTTTCAAAATGAAGTCTACCATTTTGTATTTTCAAAATTGAAGGAGAAATTCCTAGATTTTTACAAATTTCAGTTTATGTAATAAATCAAACTTGTCTTAATATCTAATATCTTTGTCAATTGTTAAGATACAAGAAAGGTATATATAGACCACTTTATAAAAAGCTCGTCAGACATACAGCCTCATTTTTATAAAGTCTTTGCTATACATTAAATTTCAGAAATCAATGACGACTTTTAAGTTTTCTCTCCATTCCCATGTTTATTGGGACACCCTGTACACTAACAATATACGTCAGTACAATACAACTGTCTTAAGTTAACTAAACGTACGGTAGTACACAGCAACATTCTCTAGTTAGTTAAACATTAAATGTATGTAAACTATATGCTGGCCCTAATCAACTCCTTGAAAGATCTTACTCAGTGGTTCTTCATGTTCTCTTTATATCAAGGAATAAATTCAGTTATCTCCACTAAATCCCCCCTCCTCCCACTCTCTAGATTTTCCCCATTATACACACTTTCCCCCTCCCCCTTAGCACACACAGCAAATTCCCCATATTTGATAGGAAGCTTAGTATTTCCCCTTGGTTGGATAATAATATCAATTGTGCACTGGTTGTAGAATAGATATTACACAGATATAAGGTAAAGTACTCAAGTACAACTTTTTTTATAAATGTCCAATTAACTACTATACACGTCCCATTGTACTATACAATTTACATGTCCAATTAAATACAATACGCGTCCCATTAAACTATACATGTCCAATTAAGTACCATACATGTCATATTGTACTGTACATGTCCAATAAAGTACCATACACGTCTCATTGTACTATACAGTTTACATGTCCAATTAAGTACAATACGCGTCCCATTGAACTATACATATCCAATAAAGTACCATACACGTCTCATTGTACAATACAATATACATGTCCAATTAAGTACCATACATGTCATATTGTACTGTACATGTCCAATTAAGTACCATACACGTCCCATTGTACTATACAGTTTACATGTCCAATTAAGTACAATACGCGTCCCATTGAGCTATACATATCCAATAAAGTACCATACACGTCTCATTGTACTATACAATTTACATGTCCAATTAAGTACCATACACGTCTCATTGTACCATACAATTTACATGTCCAATTAAGTACCATACACGTCCTATTGTACTATACGTGTTCGATTAAGTACCATACACGTCCTATTGTACTATGCATGTCCAATTAAGTACCATACACGTCCTATTGTACTACATAGTACATACATGTTCGATTAAGTACCATAAAAGTTCCATTGTCCAATTAAGTAACATGCAAATACCATTGTCCTTTACAGTAAACATGTACAATTAAACTACTATACACATCCCATTGTACTTTACAGTATACATGTACAATTAAGTACTATACACGTCCCATTGTACTTTACAGTATACATGTAAAATTAAAGTACTATACACGTTCCATTGTCCTATACAGTATACATGTACAATTAAAGTACTATACACGTCCCATTGTACTTTACAGTATACATGTACAATTAAGTACTATACACGTCCCATTGTACTTTACAGTATACATGTACAATTAAAGTACTATACACGTTCCATTGTCCTATACAGTACTATACACGTCCCATTGTATTTTACAGTATACATGTACAATTAAGTACTATATGTAAATATCCCACTGTTCAGACATGATGCAATTACAAATTATGAAATAACGCGTATATACTGTAATACACAATACGTCCCATTGATGATACATGATACAATATGGACATTCGATAATGTCTATTGGAGATACATGATCCATAATTTTTTACAATATGTTCTGCCACTGACCATTCAGTATACAACTGTATACATTGTACTATAAAATAAGCATTCTTGGTGATACGTTATCATTTCGTCCAGATTCATTTTTGAAATGTATAGAAAAAATAGAAGAATGTAGAATAATTCTAAAATAACCTAAAAATGAAATGTACAGGAAAGTAGAAGAATGTAGAATAATTATAAAGTAACCTAATAATGAAATGTATAGAAAAGTAGAAGAATGTAGAATAATTCTAAAATAACTCAATAATGAAATGTATGGAAAAAGAAGAATAATGTAGAATAATTCTAAAATAACCTAATAATGAAATGTATAGGAAAGTAGAAGAATGTAGAATAATTCTAAAGTAACCTAATAATGAAATGTATAGAAAAGTAGAAGAATGTAGAATAATTCTAAAATAACCTAATAATGAAATGTATAGGAAAGTAGAAGAATGTAGAATAATTCTAAAAAACCTAGTAATGAAATGTATAGGAAAAGTCGAAGAATGTATAATAATTCTAAATAACCTAATAATGAAATGTATTGGACAGGTAGAATGTAGAATAACTCTAAAATAACCTAATAATGAAATGTATAGGACAGGTAGAATGTAGAATAACTCTAAAGTAGTCTAATTATGAAATGTATAGGACAGGAAGAATGTAGAATAGCTCTAAAGTAACCTAATAATGAAATGCATAGGACAGGAAAGAAAATAATGTAGGAATGTAGAACTGGCCAATAACTCTAAAGTAATCTAATAATAAAATGTGTAGGACAGGTAGAAGGTAGAATAACTCTAAAGTAACCTAATAATGAAATGTATAGAAAAGGAAGAATGTAGAATAACTCTAAAGTAACCTAATAATAAAATGTAAAGGACAGGAAGGAGAAGAATGTAGGAATGTAGAACTGGCCAATAACTCTAAAGTTACCTACTGTAAAAACGTTTATTGAAGGAAGAAAACTTCTAGGAATCTTGAATTTATCTCAGCTCAGAGTCTTGTATAATACTAAGCTCAGCTAAGAGCCTTCTATAAGGTGTGGATAAAAACGTCTATTATCCAAAGTTCGATCATCAAAACGTTGAATAATAAAACGTCGATGATACAAAAAGTCGAATAACAATGAGTCAAAATCACAAAATGTCGACTGCTACAAGACTTCAGCTGCTAAAAAAATCAAATACTACAGAACGTCAATTACCGAAATGTTACATTTTGTTAGGTTAGAAGTGGTTAATACAGTTTCTGGGCAGAGTGTTGCGGACTCTTAAATGGTGATTGATAATCTGTGCCTCACATAATTTTGGGTTAGGCTAAGTTAAGATAATTTGTGGGCCGAGCGCTGCAGCTAGGATGGGCTG